TTAGCCTAAATAGTATTACTAGATATTTAAAATAACTATAGCGTGTATAGAAAGCTATTTTCTATTTATCTCCTACCTTAATCTATATTCTATAGTAGGTGTTCTAGAGGTCTAGGGTTATATAGTAGCGTGCGCCTAATAGGTAGTCTAGGGTCTCTCTAATTAGTAGGAGTAGGTAATAATCTTTAATAGTAATTGCGTTTAAACTATAGTAATCTACGCAAAGGTAAAGTGTTCTATCTTTCTTAGGAATAAATAGGATAGGGGCCCCTATAGGGCTAGTGCTATAGCAAATCTAGCTATTATATAGCGCTTGTTCTAAGTACTCTCTAAGTAGCTTTAGCTTATATAAGGAGAGGTTATAGAGTAGACTATATAGAGGCTCCTTGCCTTCTAGAAAAGGAATAGCATAGTCTAAGGACTTAAAATTTAGAGAGGTAGTAGCTGCCTCCTTACTAAAGATATTAGAGTAGTCCTTTAAAGTATCTAGTATACGCAGCTCTTATACTATATATACTTAGTAGATATAGGTATTATATTCTAAGTCTATACTAGTAGTCTATATAATACTAAGAAGTAGTAGGTTAAGACCTAATTATTATATATCTTCTTCTAACTCTTTAGTAGTAATAAGCTAAATACTAGCTACTTTATATCCCTATCTCTAGGCTTAAGAGCTATAGTTAAGGTAAATATATCCTTACTAGAGGAATAGATTACTAAGTAGTAGTAGAGAGCCCTCCTTATTAACGCTATATATAGTTATCTATATATAGCGCTTAACACCTATATTATTAGCTAAGTGTACCTAGAGCGTATATACTATATAAGTGCTCTATTATTATCTTCTAATCTAGCCTAACTAAGGAAGCTCTACTCCTTTATTAGGTAGTAGGCTTATTTTAATAGTAGTCTTTTAACTAATTAGGCTAATATCTACCTAAAGGTCTAAAATAACCTATAGTTATCTCTTTAGGGTTATCTCCCTAGCTACGCTATATATACGCTTTATGCCTAGTAAGATATATATTAGAATATACCTTACTATCCCTAGGTTATTAGTAAGGCTTAAGCTTTTCCTATCTTATTAATATATATAGGGATCTAATTTAGGTTACTACTTTTATACTTATTAGTATAATAGCCTTTTTTTTAATATTTAAAATAGGTAATACTATTCTTATCTTAAGGTAGCTTATTTATAGGAGGAGGTAGCTTCTCCCCTAGCTTCTAGTCCCTATATCTAGTATTTCCCTTAGGACGTGTATTATAATTACACGTTAGAGAGGGTTAGTATAGGTTTTACTTAAGTATAGAGCCTAACACTATTAAATCCTCTCTTATTACTAGTACTTAGTAGTAGTTAGTAATTACTTACTATATCTCTAGCCTTAGCTTTAAGAAAAGATACTAGACTCTCTATTATTTAGTATAGGAAGTAAGTTAATCCTTTAGGACTTTAAGGTATATTATAAAGGAGTAAACTATTTAGTCCCTACGCTATATTACCTAAGTGTGCATTATAGCTACTTTAACTATATAATTAATAGGGTTAGAGAGTAAGTTAAGTATATATACCTTAAAATATAACTAGGTTAGTATTATAGTAGTTGCTCTAAACGTGCGCTTAAAGTGTGTGTACTATAGTTCTTAGGGGTCTCCTGCTAAGTACTATATAGCCTAAAGAACCTTATCCTTATTATAGTAGAAAGTCTATAGTAATAGTAGAAAGGCTCCCTTATAAGAGTAAAAGAATTTATAATATTCCTTAAGGTTTTTTCCCTTATATTCTAATAGATCCTTTAGTTTTAGTATACACTTTAAAAGTAGGGGTATTAGCGCCTTAGATACGCCCTACTTATATATATTTTTTAAGTATCTTAGGGACATCCTCTATTATACTCTCTATTAAGTCTAGGGTAGTATCCCTTTCTAGGCTTTTAAGGTATAGGATCTTAGCTTCTAGTTTATATAGGTGTTATAGTTTCTAGAGTTTATTATATCTCCTTTAGGCAGCTTAGATACGCTTATTAAGCGTTAAGTCTATATCTAGCGTAGGGGTTTACTACTTATTACTTAAGGGGGAACTACTTACTAGTTCTTCCCTTAGTTATAGCTTAATAGGGGGTGGTTATATTTTTACTAGTAGTACCCCTTAGCTATTTATATATATAGATAGAGCTATCTCTAGACTATTAAATAAGAAGTATTATTATATAAGGTTCTAGTTATAGGTAATAGTATTTGCTTTATACTAGATAGAATAGTGTAGAGATAGCTATTAGTATAGTATTAATATAAGAATAATACTTATCTTTCCTAAGCCCTACGTAAAGTGCAGGTTTTATATAGCTTAGGCGCCAAGATACTAAACCTAGCTAGGGATGCACCTAATTAACTAGAACACCACAAGGTGTCTTCACGATGGGGTTGTTACAGTAATAGTATTACTACCCTAATTACTTAAACGTTTGCTATCCTATAAGGCCCTAGCCTAGGGAGGTCTATTATATGCAGAGGTCTATATAGATACTAGTAGCTAATATCTAACTTTATTTATAGTAGTTTAGGTATATACTATAACTATATAGTAGCCTAGTTAGGATTCTATAGTAACACTCCCTAATATTTAAACTAAGACTTATTATAGGCTATAAGTAAGCTAGTATTACCCTATCCTATTAAATATATATAAAGATAACGTCTACCCTAAACTAAATACACTAGTAGTATTACTAGCTTTAAAGACTAGGGTGCCTAGGATAGTAATAGTAGCGTTTTTAGGGGTTAGTATCCTAACCTAATAGTTAGTGTGCCCCTAGCTAGTAGTATTAGATTATAATAAGTACTAGTATAGCTAGATATAAGACTATAAAAGCAAACCTATTTATATAGTATACTAGCCTAACTAAATAATTCTACTCTAGATACTTATAAAAATATACCTATAGAAGATAACTATAATATACTACTAGACACGTAATAACGCTAACCTTATACTATTATAGACTCTCTAATAGAGACTTTAGATTCTACTCTACTAATATAGACTTGCAAGAATACACGCGTTAGGAACGTAAAGGCTAGGCGTAACTATATAACTAAAGCTAAGGCTAAAGGTAATAGTAATAAGAGAAATACTTCTAGAGTATAAGGCCTAAAATCACGGCAGTCTCTAATATAAACTAGAGTATCTATTATAGATGCCCCTTATATAGATAGTAGTAGTATAGGAGAGCTAAATAATAGTAATAGTAATAATAGCGTCTAGGTTTATAGACAATTACAACGTAAGAGGGTCCTAACTATATAAGTTAAATAATATATATATATAATATTAGTATATATAAATAATATAATATAATATTACTATATATCCTATACTACACAAGCTTACTATATTATACTACCCCTTTACTACTATATATAATATAGTATATATAATAATATATATATATACCTAACTTTAAACTAATATACTACTAAAGAAACCTGTAATATATATAGTGTAAGTAACTAACTTGCCCTAGAATATTTATAATATAGAGTATAATCTTTAGTAATACTACTATACTATAATATAGGAGTGTTATTATAATAGGCGCCTTTATAGAACTTACTAACCTATTATTATAGGATATTTTAGATTATAATTTTATATACTAGGTATACTACCTAGTCTCTTAGTTATTATTATAGCGTACCTAGGCAGCGGTATACTGCATGCCTATACTGCCTAGGTATCTACTAGTACTGCTTCCCACATAGTAACCCTACTAAATTATACCTACTGCGTGCCCTCTATCTATACTAAATTTTCCCTCTAGGTGCTATATATCTATCTACTATATAACCTATAATTAGGTATATTATATAAACTATGTTTAAATAGATGCTAAAGTTAATATATATAATACTAATAATATATAAACTAAAAAGTAGTTTACCTTTATAGAATATATAGTATAGTAAACCCTATTTAGGTTTACTTCTTGTACTTAAACTACTTTGTGGTCTACTTTAGATAAATATGGCTACTGTAAACCGGTTTTGTACCGTAGTGGAAGCGCTCGAAATTTCTTACTACTCCTAATTTCCTAGCAGGACGAGCTGCTTTAAACTATCATACGTCCCATGCCCTCGATCATTTAATACCAAAGAAACCATATGGAATCTCTAGCAGCCTGCTAACATCGTTTAAAATGCCACATGGTATGTAGAGAGTATGCACAAAATCATACATGGAGATTTCTTGTTTAATGCCCCGAGAATCCTGACTGCTGAAAGAATGCTGTCCCAGCACAAGTATCGACAACAGTATGGAATAATAACGTACCAGATAGTTTATTTAGGGTTTCATTTGTAACGCAGATTAACACAGTATCTTCGTTCACCTTGAGAAGACAAATAGTAATAAAACTAATATCGGACATTGCTAACTCCCCTTACAGCTCGAGAGGTACTCCCTCATCCTGGGAGCCACTCAGGTGAAAGAAATTCGATTAAGAGAGCTTTCTGGTAGCTCATTATTGGTTGTGGCGCAGCTACGGAATCATAATTTTGGCGTTTTCTAGATTTCGAAGGACTTGAAACGAGCTGAGGATGTTTCCTCGGTAGTGCTTTACACGGGCGTCTTTTCATATCAGCATGCCTTCCCGCAATTTCCTCGCACAGAGGGTTATATCTACATGGTCATACAGTCTTTGTCGCCTCAAGTTTCTTTCTTTATATGTCCTCGTAATTTATGTATTACGTAGCTCACTAGGGAAATTCTTGGGGGTAGGAATGTCCCCAGGTCAGGAGTGTGTGAAGTATGCAGAGATGGAGGCGTCTTAGTTGAATGGAGCATCTAAGGCAACCCCTCTACCGAGTAATTTGTTAGTATGAATTGATTGAATATTCTTATTACAACTCCTCTCGCTGATTACCGTATTACGTGGAAAATGAGTCTGCTAGAGCGTGATTAGAGTCTTATATAGACGCTACTACCTCGAGGAGAATTACTCAATTGGGTGAAAATGAAACTGCTGCAAAGCGTTGGTAGAAAAAAAGCAGGCGATTAAGCCTAGAAAGGCCTTGCAATCTTTAACGATCATCCGGTACACAACCTGCCGGCGACTGATTTAATTAATAGATATGTTAGCTCCCGCACGATTGATTAGAGAGTATATTACACATTAAGAAAGCGTAAACAAGGCTTCAGGGTTATGAAGCCGTCGCTATCACAAATGCCCGGGCACTACCTTAAAATGCGTATTTTTAGATGGAAATGGTGAATTTCCGTGACCTCTCATAAGGCGATATTGAGGGTAATTCACAATACATACTTCAGGCTAGGTGTGGTAGGTTCTACTAGAGATCTTTTGCATGGAACGATTCCCAGCTGTCTCGTCATCGTTTGGAGAATGGGACTGAATGTAGTGCCACGCTTTTCAAAAAGATGCCAAAATCCCTCAAATGTGGATCTTGCAGGCGGATTTTGCCAACTTGCTGAAACACGCTCCAAGTTGTACCAGAGGATGTTCCGGCTATATGTCCGGTCAGGGAGCGGTATTAATCACCATTGCATAGGCTCAGAAATGCGTGAGAGGTTGGTAGCCCTTACTGTGGGACAAAGAGTAGGATTCATGACTGCCTACGTACTTCATATGTGACTCTAGACTTTCTCGTTGTTTTGTACATTGCAGTCCACAACTTGACTGCTTGAAAGGCTTTGTACACAATCGGTAAGTCGCGCAATCCCTGCTCTAGGCAAGATGAATTCTAAATATCTAAACCGACGCTATGATAATTGAACTTACGGTAACTAGTAGCTCACATCCAGTGCACTCCCCCCCGCCTGAAACATGCATCTGTCGTCCTGAGCTTTGTTTCATAGTAGATAACAATCAAGCAAACAATAGCCCGTAACAACTTTTCCATTAAGCGATTCTTAACGCAGGCGAGTTTTTCAGATCCTACAACTGGGCCTTCACTGCAGTTTAATTGGCTTAAGGAAGGTCAGCTACACTTCAACCAATTAGGTATATCAAGTACTGCGCATGCTCGAACATGAAAAACAAGGGTCTGCAGCACATACTCCTTTCCTCTCCCTCTCCCGTCCTCTCCCTAGACCCTACCTTCATGCTCGGACGCTATGTGCATCCAGACCAATGCTCTTCACATGCGGTAACGAGGTGGGAGGCTGGACTGGCACATGTACCTGTATCACTATTGGCAGTTGTGGATGCGCTCCTTTGTGATATCTGGCACAAGCGCATGTACGCGTGGGTCTTGATGATCGGTGAGTTGCATATGCAAAGTCCATGCGTGAAATCATGCATAACCTAAGAACTTTGAGAGGCGGTGGCCGTGGTTATTGAGGCTGTGTACAGCGTCTGCGTCTGTGCCACTTTCATACAAGGCTGAAGGAACGCGCCGCAACATATTTGATAGGTCGGTAAAGCATCCTGCTCGAGCCAAATTTCTCTACCATAGTAAGCGCGCGGTTACCGATTCCAAAGCTACCTTGCAAGATGATTAACCTTGTAGTTCAATGAATAAGGGCAACGGTGGTGGTGGATCAAAGTTCGTGGAGTACCTAGAAGAACATTGCGTTTTACGGGGATGCAATTACGCCCGTGAAAGGAAAAATTGATATACTCTTACTGTCATTTCTGTCAATGCGATGATAATCGAGCGAATATAGCTACTATCAAACGTTCTTTTTTGATTGAAATATGTTGCCAATGATGTTTTGTCTGGTGAGTGGTTGTGTTGATGCCACAACATTGTGAACGCCATGTTGGTAGTATGGGTATAAGTTAAAATGTGAGTACAGTGACAGAAAATTATATTAACTTGGTAAGTATATTTCTAACTCTTGAAATCCCGGACAAGAATGGTTGTATTGACTAAAGCACGTGTTAGGTGACCAAGATTAGGTAAGTCATAGGGATAACACGACACGTGATTTCGAATTACCAAAGCATGCAATCTGTTGTGCCACCCCTGGAGCGAGCCCAGGTACTTCCTACTAGCTTTATGTCAGCGCGTTTAAGTATGTTGATACCATACATGTCGAACCAAACAGCCCTTGTTGCTGTTTGTTGGTAATTATCATAAATAACGACGGACACGCTACATCCTCTTGGGATGGGAGGCACCTCGGCTTACCGACCCGCCGAATAGTCGGGTCGGGCGCCCGGGGTGTCCAAACGTCATGCACTTTTTCGTGGGTGGATGCGGAATCTAATTCCTGACATCTGTCCATCCAACGCTACATCTCTTCTACTTGCAACTAGTATGCTGGCATCATGCTCACGACAGTTCTGCATCCTACAATATCGCAATTGAATTCCTGACGGCGTGGCAATGTCCGATGGGAAGTCTCGCTCGTCGTCATACTGTAAGTCAAGAATCAGGATATTCTGGCAACATGGCATGAATACTATATACCAGAATGGCATACTAATGGTGTTCTAGCTCACTTCTTTGCCGGTCTGAGCTCAGGCGTTCTTTCTGCCGTTCTCCTTCAGCCCGCAGACCTTCTCAAGACCAGAGTGCAGCAGGCGCGCTCCAACACACTCTTTGGAACAATACGATCAATTGCCAGCGGGCCGAACCCCATACGCCAATTTTGGAGAGGAACGCTGCCTAGCACGCTCCGAACTGGATTCGGATCTGCCATCTACTTCTCCGGCCTGAACGCGCTGAGACGGAGAGCAGCTCTCCTTGCTGCTGGCAAGAATGATGCGACCGTCAAAGGGCAAGAGCACTCGAGCTCCCTACCGAAGCTGAGCAATACCGCGAACCTGGCGACAGGGGCTTTCGCGAGGACGTGGGCCGGCTTCGTCATGATGCCTATCACAGTTCTCAAAGTGCGGTATGAGAGCAATCTATACTCGTATACCTCGCTCTTCACGGCCTCCAGAGACATCTTCCGCACCGAAGGTGTCAAAGGATTCTTTGCGGGATTCGGCGCAACCGCAGTCCGCGATGCGCCTTATGCTGGCCTCTACGTGCTCTTTTATGAGCAATCCAAGCGCAAGCTGTCCAGTCTTGCGACTAAAATCGAAGAGAAGTCTGGCGCAAGCACGAAGCTCTCCACCAGCACATCGGTGGGCATCAACTTCGTCTCGGGTGTCTCAGCAGCAGGTCTAGGCACCATGGTTACGAACCCGTTCGATGCGATCAAGACGCGTATACAGCTCATGCCCGATCGCTATGCGAACACCATACAAGCGGCAAAGAAGATGTTTGTTGAAGACGGCGTGCGAAGCTTCTTTGACGGGTTGGGTATACGCATCGCAAGGAAAGCAATGAGCAGTGCGCTTGCGTGGACCGTATATGAGGAACTTATACGTCGAGCGGAGAGAGAGTGGAAAGAAGTCGTCGAGGAAAGGCTGTAGGATGTATTGTGTGATAATGTACATGCATGCGTGGCGTTGATCATGGGTCCCAGCGGGCGGATAGATCCCTTCTCACTCATACTGGCGTTCCAGGCGTTCCATCTCATTCTAACGAATTTCGACATGGAGCAACTAGAATTTTACGCCATTTCGATTTCTTCACATTTCCTTCTTCATGAAACTTCTTCATGAAGACCATGCACGGTGAAAAGCTAAAGCGTGCGGCTGAAGCTCATCTTGGCAGATCTTCATGCACGTGTTCCATAGGACACAGAGTATGACTGGTACCTGGTAGCTATCGCCAGCGCATTCTCACCCCGATTCAGACAATGGTCACGGTGCCCATGTCCTACGTACGGGAACACAGTGTTTCAAAAGGCGCCAGCCGTGCTCAAGCATGTGTCTCGATGCGCGAAGAAGCGAAAGCGGCAGTACCCAGATACACGACACCCAATCCATCAGCTACTTGCTTGACTTTTTGACGAAAGGCCACCGAAGAAGGCTGACAACAGTACTATAGTTGGTCCAACTCAACCCCCCGCCTCCCCCCACTGTTGCAGGCACGATAACGTTAAGGCACGAGGGATGAACATCCCAGCATGTTTTAGTGTAACGTTAATTTTAGAGATTGCCCCTCCTTTCGAAACCGCCCACCATCCAACGCGCCTGTAACTAACATTAACTTAAGCGCGTCCCAGAACCCTAAGACGACACATGTCGACATGGTTGCGAAGTACCGCATCCGCCTATGGTTACAGCAGCTCTGAGTTGAAAAACACGATCGCTGTGAGCAGATGTACCGCCTCCGGTCACTGTCACCGGTAATATGCACCTGTTCCCATTCGCCAGTGGGCGTTCAGCAGACCGCGAAAAACCCCCGGTAGTTAGCTGCCTGATGGTTAGCTGCCTGATGACTAGCTGCATCGCGGATGGCATTTCAGCCCCCAAAGGCTATGGCCGCCTGGATTACTTTCAAATGAGGACGGGTGGCCGCATTTCTTCAGCTGCATTGCCTCTATAGCTTTCCTGCTTTCCTCCTTCTTCTTACGTTATCTCCTGTGCGCTGGTTGTGTCAGACTGCTTGTGCTACCCGCCCCCTCCATAGTCATATCTTACAAAACCCCGCCCGCTTTCCGCTTGCACTGCATCGTTGCTTACTTTGTCTGTCTGAGACCACGAAAAGGCAGTCTTGCGTTGTTTGTCACTTTGTAAAGGCTTTGACAAGCTACATCAAGCATTCAAGTTGCTTTATCTTGACTGCACACCTCACATCTCACACCTCACACCTCACACAATCCAACCCTCTCTACTTCCAAGATGCCCCGAGCAGACGAATGGGATTATAGCGAGGATGAGTGGTATGCTGCCGACAGAGTCACCACGGGTGCTCGCCATGTCCGACCACCAATGCCCGCTGCACCAGTTCGCAGAGTCCACCTTGACGACATTCGCCCTGGTAATGGACGCCGCACAAGCGAATTCCTGACCCCAGAGGTTCACTATACGTCCGGTCTCCATCGTACCCGCTCTCAAGGTCATGGGCCAATCCCCAATGTGACCATCTACAACACCACGCGCATGGACAACGAGAGTAGTCCGAATGTGCGTACCGAACAGAAGAGCCGGGACAGTAGTCCTCGTGGTCGTGGAGGAGTAGGAGCTGGAACTCGGAGGATTCCTGGTGAATGGGCACTTGAAGACGAGCTAGCTGAGCTGAGGCTGGAGGTCAGACGGGACCGTCACTCTCGTTCTCGCTCTAGGCATGACTACGATGACGATCGTCGTCAGCGTCATTCTCCAGATCGCAACTTTGAGGATAAAATCCAGTTGACGCTTGCTCAACAACGCCTAAAGGATGCTGAAGAACAACTTCGTAGGGAGCGACAGCCTGAACGTAACTACGAAGATAAAATTCAATTGACGCTTGCTCAACAACGGCTCAAGGATGCTGAGGAGGCGCTTCAAAGGGAGCGACATTCAGATCATCATTACGAAGACAAGATCGAATTGACGCTTGCCCAGCAACGACTCAAGGAAGCCGAGGCCAAGCTGGAACGGGAACGACTGCAAGAGGAGATGGAACGACGTGAGGAACTAGTGAAGCGTAAGATGGAGCTCAAGTTCATCAAGGACAGGAAAGAACGTGAAGCTGAAGGGGAGCGCATCAAGTACCAGGAAGAGCGCTTTAGGCACGAGTGGGAGCTTAAGCACGCTCGTGAGGACCAAGAGCGTGAGCGCGCCGCGCGAGATGAAGAGAAGAAGCGCGCGGAGATCATCGCGGAGAACCGAGCCAATATGACCAGAGAGCAGCGTGAGGCAGAAGATCAACGTGAGCGAATCCTAATGAAGCTGGAAAAGGAGAGGCGAGAGCAAGAAGAGGAACGCCGGGCGATTCTGGCAGAGAACCGAGCCCAAATGTCGAGGGAGCAGCGCGAAGCGGAAGAGCAGCGCGACAGGATTCTCGCCAAATTGGAGAGAGAAAGGCGTGAGCAGGAAGATGAGCGCAAAGCAATCATCGCCGAGAACAAATTGAAAATGTCGCGAGAGCAACGCGAAGCTGAGGAACAACGCGAAAAGATACTTGCTCAGGTTGAGAAAGAGAAGAAGGAGCAGGAAGAGGCACGCAGAGCCATCATCGCGGAGAACACTGCCAAGATGGAGAGAGAGGCACGAGAACGTGCGGATAAAGAAAGGGCCATGGAAGAAGAGCGTAAGCGCATCATCATCGAAAATGAGGCGAAGGTCGCAAAGGCAGCAAAGGAGGCCAAAGAGGCCAAACAACGCGCTGTCGACGAATATAACAAGCAAAAGGCCAAGGAAGAAGCCGAAGCTAAAGAGGAACGTGAGCGCATCATCTACGAGTATGAACGCAAAAAGTCGCAAGATGCTGAAAAGGAGAAGCGTGCGCGTGAAGAACTGATCATGCAGCTACGTCTCGAGGAGGAGCGCAAGAAGCAAAGGGACAAGGAAGAGTATGAAGCCTTTTTGCGCAAGCAAGCCGAAAAGGAAGAGGAAGAAAAGAAGAAGAAGGAGGCACAAGAGAAGGAGCTTGAAGAGACGATGCGCAAACGTCTCGCACAATTCGGCTTCCAGGACAATCAGATCCAGGCACTTGTGAACCCAGAGAAGCAGAAGGAGTTGCAGCAGGGTCTTATGCCGCAGAATCCGTTACGTCTTGCACCCCAGCCAACGTATGCGAAGGTACACAAGGCCCATCTTGATGTCGAAACGTTGCATTACTACAACATTCCTTATGAGTATGATTCGGTACGTTGGCGTGGACAAGTTCAGTTTCGCGGGACTTTTACTGACACGGCAACAGAACCCAGACTATATCATCATCCTCCGCGAAATGGACCAGCGCGAGACAGACCTTCTTTTCGAGCATACGCGTCGCCTGCGCATGGGGCACAGTGGCGGGGATCGCCTCTTCATCGAAGCAGAAGGGCGGGACAGGAGGGGCAAGCCTGAGTATGCGTTTGTGAGGAGGAAGTCCCGATCGAGATCAAGGAGCGATGTCGGTGGACGCAGTTCTACGAAGAATATTTCTCTAGGCCATATGTTGTTCCGCTGAGTAAGGGGTCATGATGCGATGGAAAGAAGATGTGCTCGGCACATTATTACGAGATTATGTGGTTGACTTATAACTAATTACTAGACACTCTTCTCATATCTGTATTTGATGATGAGGTGCAGTCCCATCTCATAGGCGGTGTTGGGCATGTATGTAGGTAAATCTCATAACGTATAGGTGATTACTATAGTCGTGGCAAGTCTTCCAATCGTGAATGCTAATCAGTCCCACCAGCAGTACAGGGCACCCAGTTCACCACATACAGTGGTAGCCCTATACATACAATCTCGGTGACTGTAAAACAAGCCTGAGAGTAGCCAGGCACTAAGCCTCAAATATACTAACCAACAAACATTACAAAGTCTCTTTGTACCACATGCCACATCTTGTAATTATCCAGGCATGCACGCAAAATGCCGGAGTGCAGAGCGTGCGGGGAATATTACCACGCTCAAACGTGAATGCCCATGCACGTGCTCAGCCTCATCGTGATTGGTTGACATCTGATCGATGAGGGAACGGAGAAAGTGGCTGTGGGGCCTGAGCTTCGGCCCGCAACAGCCTCGGCTTCTGCTTTGCTTTGCATCATTGTCACGCCCCCCAGTCAGTCTCACGCGCATGCATGCCCGGCGCCGCCGACGAATATTGCTCAATCTACTTCTCTCGCACACCACATACGTACTCTTTTGCTTTTGGACATTGTCTTACGCGCGGTGATACCCTTTTTTTGTCCTTCTTCTTCTTCTTAGTTCTTGTTCACCATCTTCTCCTTCTCTTTCTTGGCTTTAGACGGTAGATATGGCGGATGCACTTTGTGGGCCGTCGAATGCCCTGCAGAACTTCCAGAAGCATAGTACGGTTGATCGGACACTGCAGCAGGATCGTTTGGTTGCGAGGCATGGCTCACCGGCACAGGTACGATATACACTGTGGGAGAAGTGTCATGTTAGGGTTTTGACTAACATGTATCTGTTATAGGGCTTCCGATCGACACAGCAGCCGAGTGCTCTGTTGGATTCCGAATTCGATGCCTTCCAGGCTGGCAGGCCGGGTGTTCTGCCGCAGGACTTGCATCACTTTGCGCCGCAGTTTGCGAAACCTCCACCCCCTCAATTCGCACATGCATCGCAAGCACCGGACTGGGCGGCGGACTTTCAGCGCCTGAGCGTTGCGTCTCCTCCTCCACAGGTTCTGCAGCACCAGCAGCGGTCACAAGCAGCGAATGCGGCATCAGCATGGCATCAAGACTTCATGAGGCAGCAAACGCCTGTTGTGCAAGCCCCAGCAATACAACAAGCCCCGTACACCAACATGAGCGGATACAATATGGGTGGCTTCATGAACCAGCAGTCGTATATGCAAACCCCCAGCTTCCAGCCCTCGCAAATTGCCCAGGGCAAACAGCCCATACAAGACGGCACTCCGACCTTTGACGAAGCCGCCTTCGAACAAGCCTTTGCCCAAGCTCAGCAAGACATGATGGATGTCGCGGCCCTCGAGCAGAAAATGGAGGAGTCACGGCAAGCAAACCCAGAAGTGCTGGGTATAACAGATCGGCCGGGTGAGATGGACCCCCTCCTACGGATACAAGAGACACAGCCAGGTGTGTAGTATACCGTATCCTCCCCTCCACCACCACAGATTTGCTAACAAACCAATGTCAGATATCTACTCTGCGATCCAAGTCTGGAGCGAAACTGGCCTCGGTCGTACAGAAGAAGCGGTGGCGTTTCTAGACAAGATGGCGAGTCTGGAGCAGAGCGGGGAGTTGGTACAAGATCCAAATGAGGCAACGTGGATCGTGGATTCCCTGCAGAGGATTGTGCAGCGCGATGCACCGGCTGAGGTGCAAACGAGGGCTGAGACGCTGATACAGGCAATTCAGCAACGGCTTATGAGTCAGTATCCGTTGTTCTCGGCAGCGCCGTTGAACAGCTCGTGGGCAAAGAACTCGTCTGACGAAGAGCTGCGGGGAACTACATTCGAGCAGCCAATACCGCAACAAGAGGAAGAGCAAAAGGAAGAGGAAAAACAAGAACCACAACGCAACGATGAAGACGAAATGGCAGAGACGGCAGGACGCTTGTTAGAACGCGTGGCGGATAATACGAGCGAGAAGTTTGCAAATAGCCAGTTTCTCAGCCTGATGCGCAAGTTACGGGATCGAGAGGTCAAAGTGCAGGAGGATAAGATTGTCGAGGTTCATGCTGGTGAGGCTACGGCTGGTACTTCTACGACCCCGGCGTCGGCGATGAATCACTCGACTCCCCAACCACAACAGCAGCAACAACAACAACAACAACAACAACAGCCACAATACACATCCACCATCCCCCCCATCGACCGCGAAATCCTCAACCACGCAGCCACAGACTTTGAAACCCCGATTTACTCTCCTGACGATACGTTTCAGTGAGCCAGCCCCCTTTTTGTCCTGCTATTTCGGTGCTGTGGCTGTGTCTGACTGATACCGCGTCTTTGAGGGTTGCAAATGCAGCGTCTGCGGCTGTGACCGAAGACAGACGTATACCGTGGTCGGAGCAGGATGCGGATCTTTGGAGATTTAATATTCCGGGGAGGGATCCCGTGGGGAAGGTTAGGGGGCCTGGAGTCGGAATGTGAGAGCAGAGGAATGATGAGGTGAGGTGGGGAGGGGTTAGTAGGGAAGAGTTGTGATGGATCAGGCGGATATAGGGTGGAGGAGTGGGTTGGGGATATATCTGATGGGGAGTGGGGTTACTAGTTGTCAACATATAGGATGAGATTGAAACAAACGTTTTACTCTTACTTGGACATCTTCTCCTTGCCCCTACGTCTTTTTCGAGGAGAGTAGGTAGAATGGGGGTTGGTTTGTTGGCAAGTGGTACAGGAAATGTAGTCATTTCTTGCAATCACTATACATGGAAATTTCATCAGATACCCAAGTTCAAGCGTTAATTTTTCCTGTATTAGGTTGTCACGGCGTTGAGGGGCATCTATAAGTTGCGATGGAGGAGATACTACAACAGGGCTTGTACAACTTGCTTGGGTAGGTACGGTACGGTAATGTTAGGCTGCCGCTACCGCCGCACGCGCCTCTAATCTTTTTCCATCACATGCCGGGGAAACGTTTGTCCGACAAGAAAAAGTTCGGGCAAGTCGTCGCAACTTTTTAGCGTGCGGACGCGGTTGCGAAACTGCACAACTTTGACCTTACGGATTCGATTCGAGGAAAATGCCTGGAATTAAACGCAAATCGACGGTGCCGAGTGCTGCAGAGGGTAAATCGGGGAGTAAGAAGGCCAAGGTTGAGAAGGTTGGGTCTAAGGGTGATAAAGCCGTGGTGAAAGGCGACAAATCTTCGTCCAAACAAGATAAATCCTCGTCGAAGCGCAACTCGAAGCTTGAGGTCAAGCCAGTGAAAAAATCGAAAAAATCCAAGCAGGAGAGCTCTGACGATCTGGCCGAGTCGGACACAAGCGAAGACGAGAATGGCTTCGATGGATTCTCTGCCGCCCAGGATGAGGATGTGGACATGAGCGATGCGGAAAGCAGTGAAGACGTCGACATGGACGCCCCCCAAGAAAGTGGGAAAATGCAGAAAGAGCACAAGGCCAACGGCGACGCCTCAGAGTCGAAACTGGCCAGTTTGAATTGTATGCGCCGAATCCAAAGTGAATCATCCTCTCAACTAACATGCGACTAGCCAACAACTCACGAGAAGCACACGCAAAGCAGAAGGCTCTTGTTAAGGAGAGGAAAGCAGCGAAGCCAAATGCCGACGTTATCGAGCGCTCGAAGAAGCTGTGGGAGAAACTCAGGCTCAAGTCACACATTGAGAAGGAGGAAAGGAAAGAACTTGTCAAGGAGCTATTCGAGATCATAACGGGCAGAGTGAAGGACTTTGTGTTTAAGCACGACTCCACCCGTGTGATCCAGACAGCAATCAAGTACTCGACCATGGAACAGAGGCGCATGATTGCACGAGAGCTTAAGGGCGATCTGCGGACGTTGGCTGAGGGAAAATACTCAAAGTTCCTCATTGCGAAGCTCATCGAGAAGGGGTAAGCGCTGGCTTGGATTTATCGCTGCATACATGACTGACTCTCTCTAGCGACCCCGAGATTCGTGACCTTGTCATCTCCGAATTCTACGGCCACGTCAAGCGCATGATCAACCACCCAGAAGCCGCGTGGATCCTCGACGATATATACCGGCAAGTTGCGACTCAGGACCAAAAGAACCGCCTTCTTCGCGAGTGGTACGGACCAGAATTCTCCATCAAGGGACTCACAACACAAGGGACGGAGAGTGCAGTGTTGTCCGACATCCTGAGCGAGTCACCTGAGAAGAGGAAACCAATCCTAGGCTATCTCGAGGGCCAGATCAACTCTCTCATCCAGAAGAAGCTTACCGGCTTCACCATGCTGCACGACGCTATGTTGCAGTACTTCCTGGTTTGCGAGCCAGGTACCGAACAGGCCAGCGACTTCCTCGAACACCTTAAGCCTGACCCTACTCTGAAGGAGGGTGAAGAGGCCGACAACGTGGATCTGTTGAAAAACTTGGCCTTTACAAAATCCGGATCGCGGTTGATGTCGTTATGCTTCGCTTATGGCACGGCCAAGGATCGCAAGCTCTTTTTGCGACCATACAAGGACACAATCGAGATGATGGCTTTTGATCAGCATGCTCATCATGTTCTTCTCGCTGCCATGGCAGTGACTGACGATACCAAGCTCACATCCAAGTCAATCTTTGGCGAACTTCTACCAAGTAACGACACTTTAGCGGAGAAGGTCTTGAACCTCTGCAACGATGCTCGTGCCCGCACAGTTTTGCTATACCCATTTGCAGCCGATGCCAAGTGGTTCTTAGACGACAATGCGCGGGAAAGGCTAACAGAGCTGTACGCTATCCGTGAGAAAACGTCGAAGAAGGACCCAAATGCCCGTCTCCAGGAGATCGCCAAGAATATCGAACCTCAGCTGCTAAGTGCCATCACAGCCCGGGCTGCTGACTTTGCATCATTCACATTTGGCCTGCAATTCATGGGTGAAGTCCTTGTTGGGGCGCCCGAGGTCGAGCCGGCCAAGCGCAAGGAAGCGTTGACCGAGATCGCACGTCTGTCACAATCGATACTCGATTCTGCACTGCCTGCGTCGGCTGGCGACAATAAGGCGACGAGCCATGGAAAGAATATGCTCAAGACTCTGGTACAGGGTGGCAAGTTCGACCCCGCAACCAAGAAAGTGGTACCTGTCACTCCGGCGCTTGGGTTTGCAGACCTCCTGTGGAACGAGATCAAGGACAACATAATTGACTGGGCCACTGGCCAAGGTTCGTTTGTTATCGTGGCGTTGACAGAAGCCGAGGGATTTGAGGGCAAGTCTGCGGTGCTGAAGGCTTTGAAGAAGGAAAAGAAGAAGCTTGAGGCTGCCGCCAACCCTCCAGGTAGTGCTGAGGCAGAGACGAAGGCTAAGAAGCAAAAGAAGGGCGATAAGACCCAAAACACCCCCAGAGGGAACGCTGGTGCGAGGATCTTGCTGGAGAAGTTATAGATTTGGATTTCAATGTACAATTCCAGCTGCCACGAGCGGTTGCGCACTTCTGACGATGCATGGGCTATGCTTCTTTTGATCAAGATGTTGGTCGAGCTTCGTGGAGTCGGAATAGTAATTGTTAACCTGGAGTAGGGTGCACCATATGTTTGTATCTTTCCTAAAGCGGAAACGTTTCCGCACGCTTAACATGTTCGTAAACACTTGCATATTCTTCCTACTCTCTGAAAAGCATAAAACCCCCGGCCTACACCATTCTAAAAGATCCTGAAGAATCCCCTAGTAAATAAGACAAATCTATGACCTGCAACACCCATACCCCTTCCTAAAAACAAGAACAACCCTGTCAAATTCAAGTCCCCTCCCCATCAAAAAGAATGGCACCATCATCACCACCCCCCTTCACCCCAGATCCCACCTCCGACCCGTCCACCTTTCAGTCCACCTGGCGCAACAACCCCGACCCCACCGCCCTTCCCTTTCCCCGCTCCAATCCCCCCTTTCCCCTCACCCCAACCGACTGGCACCAACTCAGTCTGCGCGACCAAGACTCCACACCACACTCATGGACGGAGTTGCAACACCTCATCGCAACGCAGCAGCTCGAAGACCTCAAGCGCTGGCCCAGCCAACTAAAAGCCTATCTCGCCTGGACGACGCACATTAAGCAAAAATACGGCGGCGTCCTGCAATATCTCCTCCAGCAACGCCTCTTCTGGACGCCGCTGCAACCAGACAAAGACCACAACGCACAGGCGCAACCCTGGCCGTTGACATTTAAAACACAGAGCGATATACCGCTGGCGCATCCTGCGGATTACAAAATCCTACGCAACGATTGGGGGTATGCGCTTGAAGACGGGATCAGGCACCTTGTCGTCTGGCTCAAGCATCGGTTGCCGGTTGAGGAGGGGACGGGCGCGCTGAGTGTGGAGGGGAGGGCGCTGGTGGAGGGGTTTGTGGAAAGGGAGTTTAGGAGGCGGGTTGGGGAGGAGAGTGTGGGGGAGAAGGTGTTGTGGTTTAAGAATACGACGGTTTTGCAGAGTGTGAGGAGTTTGGAGCATGTGCATGTTTTGGTTAGGGGGGCAGAGGAGGACGTGGTGGGACGGTGGATGGGGTGAAGAGCGGGATGGGGGTTTGGGTGAGATTGGGTGGTGTGGGTATGGCTTGGTAGGTTTGAGGAGGTAGGGGTTTAAGATGGGAGTTGTTGGGTGTAAATAGAGTTCGAGGCTTGATAAAGGAAGACAAGAAATAGGTCTTGCCTGCCATAAATTTACCAGAAAAAAAGCAGCCGTATTAGACAAAGAAAGACTACCATTAGGAACTGTCAAACCTTGTTATCCGCTGTTCAGGAGCAGACGTGCTACAAAGTGTGTTACATAGCTGTTGTGTAAACATGGCCTACATTATGCCTAGGTACTATGCTATATCATGTCTCCCTATAAGCAGAGAAGATAGCAGGCAATTTTTTATAAGAATTATTTTTTCAATAATAACACTTGTAAATCGCTAGTAGTAAAACCTTTATTACTATACTTCTGCGACAATTAAGTGTGTAAATGTACTAGCTAATTTGCTCTTTATTATGGAAATGGGCTCCGTAATGTTATAATAGGTAGATTTTGTGGTAACAACGATGTGCCAAAAAAAATCCAAGCTGGCTTCTCCCAGGCACACGATGACGCAAAAAAAGAAACCCTGGATTATCTGACAATGCCAGACGAATGCTGATGAGAGTGGGACTCGAACCCACGCCACTTTCGTGACCAGGAATAATTGTTAAGATAACCTTAACCTGGCGCCATAACCAACTCGGCCATCTCACCAATGTGTTTTGATGATGGATTGGTCAAAACAATATGTTATAATCCATTTAATAAGTGCTGAGGGACCGAGGAACATCACATGGAGTCTGGAAGATGATGAAATTTTGTTTAGCGGTGATGGGCGACCAATGTAGACTACTGCTAGGTCCGTTTTTTCTTAGTAAATATACTACTCATAATTCACAACCAGGTTTCCGATCGCTGTACAACAGAAGAATGTTTTCCAACTGTGATGTAAAGACAGTCTGACTAACTAGTGCAAAGCTGTTATCCCATAAAGGCATGCGAAGGCCTATTGATTTCAATTTGTTTCAATAAGCAGAAGACGAAGATTTGAGAATTCTTTCATCTAACCCTGCCCTGCTCGATGCACTTTGACGATCTGCGCCCAGATCCGACATGCATGATTGCGCAAGTGCGCACTGCTTTCAACAGTCGATTTCACGACCTACCCAATGTGGCATGTTGTATGTGATCCACCATATCCCTCAGGCCCAAGAGACTCTTGTCGTCATCCTTATCTTGTCTTCGGACTGGTCTTATGGCGTACATTTACGGTAGTCCATAGTAGCTAAGCCCCGGCCAGTAGGGGAATATCACGGTATCAGCCACTCTCATAACGACGCTTGGGCCGCGCGCTAGGTACCGTGAACGTGAACGTGTGCTGCGCCTCCCGCAAGACACAAGGTGTTCACCGCCGAACATCACACAGCCACCCTTCCCCTGCATTGACCCAGCTAGCATGTGCTTCGTGACCTTCACCACCCCGCAATGAGATGGACATGCGCAGATGCCGCCATCAGTCGCCGATAGAGCGCCATGACGTATTGGCCCATCTCGTCGCCCTCTGTGTTTGCGGCCACAAAACACACGAACCATGAGCGGACGAATGTCTCGCACGATGGATTGGAGCACAAGAAAGCAACCGAGCAGCACAATGGTCCAGTGAATGGGTCGCATGCACCGGTCAAGGATGAAACATGCACGCAAGGAGATGACGCTGCGCAAAGGACAAATGGCGCACACCAAGCTCAGCAAGGCACGTCCGAGCACTTGGTAGAAGACGATATACATGGAGAGATCATTGCGATACGGGTTACAAGGAGCGGCCACGTGTTCGCCACCCTTACTCGCTCGACTTTGACTGTCTGGCAGACGAAGGCAGGTCTCCTTCTGCTGTGCCAATTGCGCTCCTACTGATTGTCTACATAGCCCACTGTTGTGCTAGCCTCTGTGTTGCGCTCCCAACACTCAGTGAAGACGTACGGCCCAAACTCAGACATTCTCCTCCGCCCCGACTCGCAAATCTTCGTCATCCAAACCACGCTGGGCTTCTTGATCACGTACTCGCTCGCGACAGATCATTCCTCGCGCGTCTACCGTACTCAATTCACCAATACGCATGGAGGACATTCGCGGAAAGGCAGCGCAATTTCAGGCTTCAAGATACGGCGCCAGCATGATCACAATGCGGGGCCTGGTGAAGGAAGCGGCTTCAAGGAGCTCAGCCTGCGCTTCAGGATGGTTATACGTGTGGATGCCGGGATTGTTAGGGCTCTCGCTCTGGACGAGGAGCTCACTGTCGCAACCGAGAAGCCAGCTGCCGTACAGTGCATCCGCTGGGCACCAGACAATACTGGCAGTCAGACCAGTACAGAGTTGCTCAGCAAGATGACATGGCTGGGCGCGAAGACAACACTTCGTGAATTAGTTCATGATCGACCCATGAATCTCTCATGCTGGGTGACGGGAGAAGGGCAAGCTTTTGCTGTTCAACGAAACACTGAAAAACACGGCAGTGAATCCCCTGCCCTATTCCGTGGCTATGGCTTTCATGTGCCCGAGAACAATGCTGAACACGGTATAAAAGCTGCAATCAATGCACGATTTTCCCTTCTCGCTGTTGGCTGTGCCAATGGCGAAATCTACGTGTACACGGCTCGAGACTACACAGGAAACATACCGCTTTCGCATAGACTACAGCCCAACACTAGTTCACCCGGAAAACTCACTGTTCTCGCTTACTCGCCTGACGGTTATTGCCTCTTCGCTGGCTATGAGCGTGGGTGGGCGATGTGGAGCGTGTACGGCAAGCCTGGAGCTACCAGCTTCGGCACTGATCGAGGGATGTCCGAAACAAACGCCGAGGGCTGGCTTCTGGGTGTACATGATGCATTCTGGATCGGTGGGGGTGCAGAGCTTCTTCTTTTGAACAAGAACGACAACCGTCTGTTCGTTGTCGAAATGGCAAGGAGCGCAGTCACTGGTTGTTTCTCCTCAGCCAACGTGTCGCGTTCTTTGATGCAGACAAGTACAGGTTTCATGATCTATCGTGGTTACGATCTCCCAGATCTGACCACTATATCTGCCGATGTCTCTTTGTGGCATCAGGTTCAGGTACCCGCCTCCTACCTGGTCGATCAGTGGCCAATTCGATGCGCAGTCATCTCAAACGACGGTCGGTATGTTGCCATCGCTGGTAAGAGGGGCCTTGCCCATTACAGTGTCAATAGTGGACGTTGGAAAATGTTCGACGATCCCATAATAGAGAATGAGTTCACAATCAGAGGAGGCATGTGTTGGTTTCAGCACGTTCTCATCGCTGCGATAGAATCTCACAATTCGCACGAGGTACTGTCATTTGCAATTTTCTCTAACCTTGAAAGCTGACAATACCTCCTAGATTCGTATATATTCTCGCGAAGCTGCACTCGATAACAGCCACATCATGCACAAACAAAAACTACCCGCACCAATCGTACTCATCGCTCCTTCCGGAGAAGACTCACTCCTTGTCTATACCTACGAAAACATCTTGTACCATTACGTAATCAATGTTGCGGACGCTGCCGTCAAGCTTATCCAAGTGGGCCAGATCGCGTTGCATGGGATCATCCGGGCACCTCCACGCGTACGAGCTCTGAGTTGGATCTTACCAGAAGATCAGATTCGTAAGATTTTTTGTATTCTTGAAGAAACACACGCTAATTAGCAATTCAGATAATGGAGATCCGTCACAAGATGTAGCTGTCGCAACCATACTGTTTCTCGTTGATGGTAAACTGGTACTACTCCAACCTACCACTACAGAGGGCGGTGAGCTGAAGTACGAAATGCGGATCATCGCACAGAATGTGGAGACATATGCGCTGATTCGCGATCATCCTGCGTTCGCACTAGACGTGCATGCTGACACCCTACCACCTAGTCCGTCTATAGGGCTGACGATGGAAGAGGTACATGGCCACGACCTGCGGGATTCATTGTGGTATTTCGATGGACAAGATATGCGAGTATGGATTGATATGCAAGACGTATTATCGTCAGTGTCCGCAGAACTTGGCCGAGAATTACCAACGCCAGTCAAGATACCCATCGATTTCTATCCTTTGTCAGCCCTAATTAACAAGGCCATAATCTTCGGCGTGGAGTCAGAACTGATCCAACGCAGGGACACAAGTTTCGCCTTTCTGCGCTTTGGTACGCGGGTAAGTTGGTGTGACAACCAGAGGACACCCCAGACCCTCACAACGCTCAGATACTGACATATGTCATAGACGCACCTCTTCCTTCCCGCTCTCCTGCGCTACCACCTAGCGCAGTACAATCACCCTGCAGCCCTACACCTAAGTCATCATTACCAGCATCTACTGTACTTCCCCCACGCCCTCGAAATCTTACTGCATGAGGTTCTGGATGAAGAGGTGGACACGCAACCGCCACCAGAGCAAGCATTGCTACCGAGCGTTTTATCATTCCTCAGCTCATTTCCACAATATCTCGAGATTGTTGTGCAATGTACACGTAAAACAGAAGTCCGTTCGTGGCGGACTTTGTTCTCAAATCTTCCGCCACCAGAAGAGCTTTTCGAAGAGTCGCTGCATAAAGGTAATCTCAAGACTGCAGGCGGATATCTGCTCGTACTGCACACCTTCGAAGAGCTGCGGCCAACAGGCGACCAAGTGGTTCGCCTCCTCCAACGCGCGAAAGATGAGCAGGATTGGGAGCTCTGCAAAGAACTTGCACGCTTCCTCATGGCGCTCGACGAATCGGGTGCAACGTTGCGAAGTACGCTGGAACGCGTGGAGCTCAAGTCGCCATCAGCAGAGCCAGAGGTTGGTCAATCGCATTTCACCTTCGAAACGACACGACTGAACGTACCTGTTCCCGACCGGGGACGAAGCAACGGCTTCAAGGTAATAGACGGAGTCGGGATAGAATCCAGTTCTGATGATGGCCGAAACCGCGGATCAAGAGGGAGTGACAGCATTAGTACCGGATTGAGCGGGCTGAGCCATGAAAATGTAAATGCACAGCAGGAAACCAGCGACTATTTTGATCTTGGGTAAAGGGATACACAAGCAAGGGTACGAATAGAGTATATGGACTCGAGGAGATGTGGATTTGATTACGCGTCTAATATATTTAACGTCATCGCACATTGTGTAGTGGCGAACAAGCATGGTTATGGATCTGATAGGCAGGCTGCAGTCTTGGTTGACAGTACCTAGTGTTGGTTACTCTACTTGATTGAATCTCTGCACAACCCAATTGAACAAAGAGCCGGGCTCCTGTCCACCCGCCGGGCTGCTGAAATACCCGATGAGCTATGCGCGGCAAGGTCGATGATTGGGTGAACTCCTTTGATGAATAAAGAGTCTTATACCTGGACAAATTTCATGAACTACCTATTGCCATAGAATCTGCGGTAGCAAGCCGGAATACTCTCAGGCAATCCGGCTTGTCATGAGCTGAGCACCTGCTCAATCCCCAAGTCATAGCGGAATCGACTGAGCAGTGAACAGATGTACGACGATAGTGATCCCGTGTAGCGGAGAATAAAGCAGTAGAATGCGCCGCTGTCAAACGGGCCTGCAGGCTTAATCGACATCCATGGCTCAGTGGCTTGACTAGCAGACATGGCCTGTCTCGCCAATGCTGTGTAATCAGAGCTGGGCGGTGAGATTTCGCTTGCCCTTTCCACACACACTCTGGGGTCGTTCAGCGAAGTGTCAGCAATGAAGGTGTGTAACCATTGCACAGGATTTCACTCACGTGTTCCAGGTGATCTTGCTTGGACTATGGAACTCTACTGTGTGCAATTGCTACAAGAATGCTCACATCAGGCTCATCACTAGACTTGGCTTCCTTGCCATGAGTTTCAACATGATTGAGAAGTTGATGTGGTTGTCGGTCACCTCGTTCCTCCGATCTCCATGTACTGAGTATGAGATGCACGTCAAGTCCTACAACACTTTCCAGCGGCGTGAGGGAATCTGCCTTGTCAGCAGATTGTTCCACGATGCTTCTATCGAAGCTCACAGCCCTGTGAGCTGCTCTAGTCTGTATGTGCTTATTGGGCGCCTGCATAAAGGCGGACAGCGATCAGCAGGCAGCCCTAGGTACTCCTCCCGCTGCTCTGCTGCTCCACACATCTCGTTCCCCAGACAAAGCAGCACTGCCCCCCCCCCCTAAGTTCCCCTCACCGTCTTGCAGAACTTCGCACCACTAGTAGGACTCTACTGCTCTACTGCGCATCACTTGCTCACCGTGCATGACGTAAAGACGGTATACTCAAACCACCCAGCATCCATGAACGGCCTTATAGTGCAAGCCTGCGCCCTTCTGAGATGAGGGATGGAACATCAGGCAACCAGACCCCCACAACGACCATACCGGTACATAGACAACTGACGATCCACCAACATCAGCCTTACAGCCTTCAATCGATCTGACTCCAGTTTTTGTTGTATCCCGACTCAATTGAGGCATGATCATCATCGATCTGATATACCCCGTCATATCAATCACCACGTTCGCCAACCTCGTTTGCGCTCTAGACCGACAATGAGTACATCCCAGTCAACAATGCGCACTTGCATCTCCCCGCTCTTTCCCGCGCCTGGTCCACATCGCATGCATTACCCTTCATCTCCATCTCCAACAACATCGAGCACGAGCTACTGGAATTCGATGGCCCAACAGATCAACTTTGGTAAGTGATTATCCCTTGTGGCGGGGGGTTCGATTCATGTCAAAAAGCCACGATGCGCGGTTCGCGGACGCTACTGCATGATTCGAAACGGCGCGCGCATCCGTGGGTAGTCGCCTGTCAACTAACTTACCGGTACATGTTGCGGATCAGGCGACAACATCGTGCTTTTCACTATATCTCACCCCACAAAGTATATTCCATATGCTAACCCCGCCTCTACAACAGGCGAACGTGGTCCGCGAAATACAAAGTCCAAGAGTTCTACTGAGAAGAATTGCGCACCAATCAAAGATGGAGACTACACATTTATCACAGCAGCCAAGCCTGCAGACTTCAGGTCGAAGAAGACCATGACTGCCGTGCGCAAGACGGCGATGGCCAGTTTTTTGAAGAACGAGAAGAGCAAGGAGATTTCATCGAGAGATTCTACAGACGAGTCAAATGGCGTGGCCTCTGATGGCTCATTCTCTCAAGTTGCGACCCAAACCGCGGTAAACACATCGGACACTTCCGACTCGCTGCACCCACCAAAGTGTAGCAATAGAAAGCAACAACCAGTTTCAACTCGGCAGCCGCCTCACATACATCTTGATACGCCCTCAAGCCCGCAGAACCAAGTCGCGAGGCTTCACACGCCCATCGCCTCGCTGTCTAAACCTGCAGAACTCATTACTCCTTCACGACAGGGCATCGAGCTCCCATTCGACATCAAGGTCGTACCTGAGCTCAGATCCCTTGGCAAAGCCCTGGATCCTTTTGGAACCATGTTTCAATCCAGCAACAGTCTTGTGTCAGTTGAGAAACTCAAGTGGCACTGCAGTCGATACTTTGGCACGTACGGACTGGGCAAGCACTGGATTCCGTATTGTCTGGATCACCCTCATACCTTTCTAAGCACGCTGTGCTTGGCTGCAGCACACAAGGATGTACTAGAAGAACGGTCGTCGGAGAGCTTGGAGACGGCAGCTTTACGTCAAGATGTCATTATCATGGTGGGAGAGAACCTGCTGAATCCAAGTCAAAGCGTGGCGGATCACAACATTATAGCCGTCTTGCAGCTCATCATTTGCGAGGTCATTAGCAGGAAAGAGGCGGATCTGGCGTTTCATGAGACAGGCATGGAGGCCATGATTGAGAAGCGAGGGGGGTTGTACCAGCTGGGAGTGAATGGACGACTAGCCTCGGCAGTGTCTTGGGTGCACTTGACATCCGCCATCTTGAGAGGCGCCGAAGCGCGACCCATGTATCTCGAGTTTTGCAATACGCATCAGATGTCGAATTACCCAGCCTCGGTCACCATACCCGATTCCCCCATCTTCTGCCCACGAGAGAGGCTCTTCACTCTGGAACGATCGTCAAAATGTAGCCCAAAGGCCCTTGAGCTTCTCAACGACATGCGAGCCATGGTTGATCTCTTCTTGTCTGAAGAGTCACAACCCGCCCCATCAAAGGCAAACGGCCTGGCAAGACTTCACGCCAAAATCACAGTCGACTACCCGCCCGTCGCTCACTTTGCACGGACAAGAGTGCTGCGAGAAGAAGACTGGAAATACGAGGCGATAAGAATCACAGCCGTGGTCCTATCAACTGCCATGCTGCTCCGTGTGCCTCTGCCCCAGAGTCTGGCGGCCGCGGCGCCAACGAGGAATCTGTCCACCACAAGCACCACGTCCATGGCCTCGAGGTCAAACGAGTCGCTCTGCTCTACCCTGGAGAACCAGCAAGTCACACCAGTGACAGATTACTCCACCAGCCCTTCCTTTAGCATGGTCAACCCTAGCCCGGGAATCGACCCAACTTGTTTTCCCTTTGACGCTCACAGTCTCGCTGCATCTGCATCTGCATCTGCATCCGCCTCATCACCACATTCGTACTCTTCTCCCTATGCACAACAACAGCCACAATCACAATCACAGCCCCAACAACAAAAACGCCCCTCCATCCCCTCACCCTACCCATCCTTCTACCTAGTTACCGGTATCAAACACGTCGCC